CATTTCGTCATTTGCTCAACATAATAATGAATTAAGGTTGCGTCAGAAAGGTTTGCGTTTAAGCACTTCAAGCACAAAGCATAAAGCGTCAAGCCCAAAGAACAGCTTCAAGGGTCAACCTTTGTAAACGTTCATTATCTGGTGCACTTAAATCTTCAGTTTTAAATAGTACAGTTCCATTTTTTGTCAGTTTTTCGTTGAGTCATTCAATTTCCATTTCGTTATCATGATTTAAACATTTCCGGAAGGCAATGATCTGAAAATCATTCCCGATTTGCAAATCAAGTCAAATGAGTCATTTATTTTTAGTCTTTTCATTAAGAAATCTTTCTCTTTTCATCGATTTCATTACCATCTCTTTTTCGGTGAGAAATCCTCTTTTTCTCCTTTCTTTCCCCGTTCTCTTTCCGAAAACTGGCCCACTCCATCGATAAACACTTATCTTGATTCATATGTCTCAAGAAAAAACCTCAAAAAACCAATCTTTCTACACTAAAACGTAGTTCAAATCAATCATTTCATTCAATTCATTCATTTAATTCATTCATTTAATTCAATTATTCAATTCCATCATTTAATTCAATTCAATCAATCAATTCAATTCAATCACTCAATTCAATCACTCAATTAAATCATTCAATTAAATCACTCAATTCAATCATTCAATTCAATCAATCAATCCATTCAATTCAATCAATCAATCCAATCAATTCAATCAATCACTCAATTCAATCATTCAATTCAATCAATTCAATCAACCACTCAATTCAATTCAATCAATCAATCCAATCAATTCAATCAATCACCCAATTCAATCATTCAATTCAATCACCAATTCAATCACTCAATTCAATCACTCAATTAAATCATTCAATTAAATCACTCAATTCAATCATTCAATTCAATCAATCAATCCAATCAATTCAATCAATTCAATCAATTCAATCAATCAATCCAATCAATCATTCAATCCAATCAATCAATCCAATCAATTCAATCAATCACCCAATTCAATCACTCAATTCAATCATTCAATTCAATCAATTCAATCAATCACTCAATTCAATTCAATCATTTAATTCAATTCAATCAATTCAATCAATCAATCCAATCAATTCAATCACTCAATTCAATCAATCAAAACTAAATCTCTAAACATTTTAAACATTTTCTATACAATACAATACAATTTTTCTGTAAAACATTGTCTTTTTATGTCATCTTCTTCAGCTTTAACCATTGGTCGTTGTTTGTCCCGATTCAGAGTGTACTTTCTGTGCAATTTCTAAGCTCTCAGAAAAGAATTAAGAATACAATTTATGAAAGATTTCTAGACAATCATCTAGAGAAAACTTTCTTGCAAAAATCTGATGAAGAGGGACGAAAAGAAAGTAAAAAAAGCGGCTCATATTGCTGAAAAACTAGGCCAAACTATGGTAGCTCATTTACAGTTTAGCTTAGCTGAATTTGGCTTAATTTAGGCTAAATTTTAGCTTAGTTTGGCTTGAATACCTTCTTGACAGTTGTCACAATTGTGTTTTGAACTTTTAAACTTGTGAAAGCTTACGAAATTTTTCGTTCCTTTTCTTTTCTGGCTCGATTTCTCTTTCCCAATTCATTTCTCTTTCCCAATTCTATTTAATTCTGGTTTTTTGGCTTGGCTTGGCTTGGCTGGGCTTGGCTTGGCTTGTCTGGACTTGGCTTGGCTTGGCTTGGCTTGGCTTGACTCGGATTGGCTTGGCTTGGCTTGGCTTGGCTTGACTCGGATTGGCTTGGCTTGGCTGGGCTTGGCTTGGCTGAGCTTGTCTTGGCTTGGCTTGGCTTGGCTTGGCTTGGCTTAATGCTTCGGTTCAAGATTGTGTGACCTTTCTCATGTACTTTCTCGTGTACTTTCTCTTGTACTTTCCCTTGTACTCTCTCTTTTCCTTTCTCTTTTACTTGACTTTTGTTTGATTCTAAACCAATACTGTGCACTAGACATGGAAAAATTCCAATCCGAACCTAATTTCACCGTCGTTTTCTCAGCCACTTCTTAACCGATTGCTCTGAAATTTTGTCTACAAGCTGAAAATATCGATTTCTATCTGTAGACAAAATTTCAGAGCAATTGGCCAAGAAACGGCCAAGAAAACAAAGGTAGAATTAGGTTCGGACTGGAATCTCCCCATGCCTACTGTGCCAAATCCATAACCATTTTAAAATAACATTTTTCTATCCGTAGATTATAACTGTGGGATCTTTCCAATGCAAAAGTTAAAAACACAATTTTTAAACACGTTTTCATAAAAACACACCTGTTTTGAATGTGAGTTTTGTTTTCTTTTTCAAACTTTTCCTTTTTCTCTTTCCTTTTCTCCGCTCCCGAAATTCCTAAAAGTTGAATGACGCAAAAGTGACTTTTCTCTAGCCACCTTTCCTAGCGCTTTTTCGTCATCGTTTTCTTTTTCTAAATGCAGAAATTCTTGTAAACGATCTTTCTAGTGCACTGGAATCTTTTATTTAACTTTAAAATTCAAATTTTTGCCTCAAAAGTAGAGTAAAGTTTAGTTTTACTGTAGTGGATAAAAGAAAAGTCTTCAAAAAATCGAATATTCAAGAAAGACTTCAAAAAGCATACAAGTTGAATGATATCTCGATGTTAATGATAGCTTTTTGATCTTAATAGTTTAAAGTAGACTTCGGAAAACAAAACTTAACCAAAACCAAAACCAAAACCACCAAAACAAACCAAAACCAAAACCAAAACAAAACCAAAACCAAAACCAAAACCAAAACTAACCAAAACTCGCCAATATCTCGCGACCGGGAGGAGCTAGCGAAAATCTGTTTGCAGATTTGAAATCAGCATCCAAAAATCTATCCCATAGGCTATTTTTTGTTTCGAAATTTCGAGGTCGTGTTTTGGTCCTTTTTTCGGCCGCGAGATTTTGTGGAGTGAGAAAAAGTGAAAGGCAAATTTGCATTTTACATTAAAATTTGCATTTTACATTAAAATTTGTATTTTACATTAAAATTTGCATTTTACAATTTTAAATTTACAGGTTAATTTATATGCAAATTGAGTTTTGGTTTGTTTTGTTGTTTTGGTTTTGGTTTTGGTCTGTTTTGGTGTTTTGGTTTTGGTTTTGGTTTTGGTTTAGTCTTGGTCTGTTTTGGCTTTGGTTTTGTTTGCCGAACTCTAGTTTAAAGTAAACATTTTGATGAAAATGTAGAATAAACTTGTATTTGAAACAAAGAACAATTAACTTTACAGATCAAAAAAAAACTAAAGAAAAAGTAGCATGGCGGACTCGAACCAGAGACCTTCAGTCCCAACTTTGCCTTGTATTCTAACTCACTACCACTCGGCCACCACTGCTTCTGAAAAGCCCTCGGGAAAATCTGCTTATTCTCTGCTTATAAACTCGGGGCATGATAATTCCAGACAAAACTTCGAACACTTGTAGCTTCTGACAGAGTGCTCCATAACAGAAACGGAAGGCAGATTCGGATTCAGCGTGAAATTCAGTGTTAAATTTCTGCGTCGAATAAGCCTAAGCCTAAGCCTAAAGATCCAGAAAATCGGGAGTTAGCCCAAACCAAAATGGTGCAAAGCGCTAGCCGCTAGCCTTTGCATTAAGTCCAAGCCTAAGCCTGAGCCAAATGTCATTTGCCAAATGTCAAATGCCAAATGTCAACCACACCCAGTTGGCATTCCCTTTTGAGCCAAACTTTCCCTCGTTTTGTGCAATGAAAACAGATGTTCCCGGTTAAATTCCAGAAAAACACGCAAAGCATTATTGATCAGAGGGAAAAGATCAAAAGAAACGCTGACAAGATTAAGCACAAAGTCGACTTTCCAAACGATTCTCGAGTGATTCTTTTGAAAGTAAGAATATTATTGACATTGTTAAGTATTGACATAATATTATTGGCAATCGTTTATTCATTCTGGCATCGGGCTAAGCTTTAGAGTTCAAAATTAGCATTTATCCGTGCAAGAATTGCCCATTTCCCCGTTTTCTTCAAAAAAAATATGTCCTTTTCTCTATTTTTGTTTATTCCATTCACTTTTCCTTTTTTTCTTTCCTTTTTTTGTTTCCTTTTTTCTTTCCTTTTTTTCCTTTTTCATTTACTTTCCAATTGATATCTCTTTTTCTGAATGATTCTCCCTTGATGACAACAAAGCGATTCCCCCTCTTCTTCTTTTCTTTCTCTTCACTTTTCTAATATAAACATTCTGTGTTTTGCAAGCAAAGTCGAGAATAATAGATCAAATTGATCATCTGTTTCGGAAAAAAATTCCATTTTATTCTTTGATTTTTCTTTGATTTCTCTTTGATTTTTCTTTGATTTCTCTTTGATTTCTTTGATTTTTCTTTGATTTCTCTTTGATTTTACATAATTTTCATCAAATTTAATGAAAGATCAATTGAAAACTTCAATTTGAATCGATTTGGATTCATTTGAATCGATTTGAATCGATTTGAATCGAAATTTCGGCAATCTTTGATTTAATTTATGCGCAAATTTTGTAAACGAATTGTCTCCACTGAATTGCCGACATTTTCTCCGTGAAACTTCGCTGAGAAAACTGAGAAAAGAAGGAGTGCACCCAGGTGTGTTTACAAGCACAAAGTACACTTGTTCAATCCATTTCCCCTTCAATCCATTTCAATCTATTTTCCCTTCAATCCATTTCCCTTCAATCCATTTCCCCTTCAATCCATTTCCCCTTCAATCCATTTTCCCTTCAATCCATTTTCCCTTCAATCCATTTCAATCTATTTTTCTATTTTCCCTTCAATCCATTTCCCCTTCAATCCATTTCCCCTTCAATCAATTTCCCCTTCAATCCATTTCCCCATTTAAATCCATTACCTAACTCGGCTGAGACTTATTTTTCATAATTCTTTATTCATAAGTTTAATGCTTTCAAAGTTTGATGCTGTTGACTCCATTCAATCGATTTTCATGACTTTCATTCAATTTTCATTCAATCAATCAACTTTCCAGATCGGATGGGCGGTCACCGTCGAGATCAATCCGATTCAACAATGCCCCTTCGATCAAATGCCGATTTTATCGGACCTGAGTCTCAAGAATTACAGGTAAGAGAATCAGAATACGAGAATGAAATAAAAGCAAAGGAGATTAATAACCTTTAAATTCAATTAGACTCTTTTCCAATTTAGGACATTTAGCTCCTTTTCCAAACAAATTCAAGCACAAAAACTCGTTTTTCGTCAAATTCGCTTAAAAAAAGCTCTACAAAGAAATCGGCTGAACGGATTATCCTGTAAATTTGGCTATATACCAAACTTTTTACACTCTATCTTTTATCTATTGACACCAAGATTGGTTTCTGTGGACCAAAGAGCCTAAATTGCGTCCTCCGGGGGACTTTGACTATTCGACTTCGTGGCCCAATAAAAAAGCCATAATCAAAGCATTTTCATAAGATTCAAACATTATTTTGTAGAAAAATAAGGAAAGATTTGTAGAAAAAGAATTGAAAAAAAGGTTAGTCACTTGAAAACGGTCTTTTCGAAATAAACGAAAATTGAAAACCCACGAAAAATGACAGATTCCCATGGGGTGCTTGCGGCGAGCTCATTCCGAAGGCCAGTAAGGGTCAAAAATTAGTGCTGGCGAAAAAATCTTTAATGTATTAATGATGCTGAGAATCAGAGCTCTCAAATGGTATATAATACATGCTAATTTGTGTGAAAAGTTTTTTGGTAGAAAGTTTTTTGGTAGAAAGTTTTTTTGGAAAAGAATAGTTTTCCAAAAACCGATTGCCATAATTGTGGATCAGCCTGTCTCCTGAAAGACTTTCTAAAGATTGATGGACTTACCGTATTCTCTCTAATAATAGTGCACCCTGAGGGTTGTCTAAATCACTCGAAATCTCGAGAACCGTTTATCAGAACCTATCGATGTGGGGTCGGAAAATGTAGCTGACGATGAGATCTAGTGGGGGATTAGAGTGTTGAGCTTCTGTGAACACTTGGGAACGATAAAATCGTCACCAACATAAAATCGTCGTCGCCGGGGTGCACTATTATTAGAGAGAATACGGTAATTCTGGGGTAAAGGAGATCAAGTGCGTTGTAGTGTAATGGTTAGCACGGGAGGTAGTCAAATGAGCGCCAACAATTGGGCGCCAATCATTTCAGCGCCAACGATTTGGCTCACGCTTATTTCAGCGCCACTCCTTTGAGCGCCGTGCCAAAAATGACTGGAAAACAATCATTTGAGCGCCAAATTAAAAAGGCCTAAAAACGTTCATTTAAGCGCCGGGCCAAAAATGACTGGAAAACGTTCATTTCAGCGCGACTAAATTTTAATATTTTTGCTTTCTACGCTGCTTTTGCATGTTTTTTAGGGTTTTGCTTCTGTTTTTACACTTTTTTCACTCATTTTGACCTAGGGCACGGTAGTAGGCATCAAATGCGCGGAAAAAATTGTTAGATTAGCTCGTATTTAAGGTTTTTTTGATGAAAATGTGTAAATTTGCTAGTTGTATGATATTTTCCCCCAATAGCATGCTTTTTCACCGTTTCTTGCCGTTTTCGTTTACAATTTGCTTACAGTTAACATAGTTCTTTGCGTAGGCTCGTGAACTGCGCAAGAAGTGGCGAGACAAAGGAACACTCTGAGTCAAAGTAACGTTTTGTTCATGATTTATTTTGGTTTATTTTGCTGCCAAGAATTATTTTTATCTTTAGATGATTTAGATAAAAACATACAGTAAAAACTTTGAGATCATGCAGAAAATGCAAAAATAACATGCATATACAGAATGGGCTGATTCGGCGCTGAAATGAATGTTTTCCAGTGATTTTTGGTGCGGCGCTGAAATGAACGCGCGCTGAAATGAACGCGCGCTAAAATGATTGGCGCTGAAATGATTGGCGCTCAATTTTTGGCGCTCATTTGACTACCTCCCGTTAGCACAGTTGCTCGGTAAGCAAAAGATCAGGATTCGAGTCCCGACAGCGCACGATTTTTGATCTGCTTTTTTTGATCAAGTTCCATGGGTTTAATAAAGTTTTCGTATTTAAATTACTATTACTTTGTAGACATCATTGCAGCCCAATGATGTCTACAAAGTAATCTAAACGGATTAAATTTGAATTGAAAATTGAAAGCAGATTGCGGTAACTTTCTCGCCGGTAAAATTGCGGTAACTTTTCATAAGATCTTAGCAAAACGATCCAGAAATTAGAGCTTATCACTCTCCGTCGCTATTTTGAAAGCAAATAGCCAGTTCAGCGTTATTTTTCTAAATGATCACCTGGCTGAAAGTCTGCCAAAACAATCTCACTTCTTAAGAGTTGAAATTTCTACCAAAAATTTGCATAAACCTAAAAGACAGACTTTCTTAAAAGACAAGCGTAGTCTTTTTAAAGTTAAGCCAACGAAAGAACCTACCGTAAATACTGTAATAGTGCCCCACCCTCCCCTCGTACAGTCACGTAGTCGTTTTTTAGTATTTCATTTTTTCAAAGCACCCGTCATTTCAAAAAATGCGTCTTTGGTATCAAAAAAATAGCCCTGAATTTCAGCTATTTTTTGATACCAAAGCGCGCATTGTAGCATAAACCAGTGTCGAGAAAAACGCGTTCAAAGCTAGACGACGTCATATGGAGGCCATATGGACGCAGCATCATATGGACTTCACAGGGAACTTGAAATCTGAGCTCCTGGCTTAGTGAGTAGTGCGCTAGGCTCATGGCTTGGCGCTAGGCTTCTCGTGCGAGGTTCGGATCCGACATTGCCCCAGCTTTTTCGCTTTTGTTAAAAGATGTTGAATAATTGTTGTCCTTTTATTTTTTGCGGGTTTTAACTTTAACTTTTAACAGAATCTGATGCGTCTTTGGTTAACAAAAAATAGAGCAGAATTTCAGCTATTTTTTGATACCTAAGCGCGCATTGTAGCATAAACCAGTGTCGAGAAAAACTCGTTCAAAGCTAGAGCTACACAACACTCCGCACCGTCATTATGTGGGTGGGGTACTATTACAGTATTTACGGTAATCATTTTCTCTAATTTCATCTAAATTTCAATCTAATTCAATCTAGTTCAATCTAATTCGAATTTCTAATCTTTTAAACGAAGAATATCTTATTCAATTTCTATCTTTTAGTCTAAAGAATAGCATAGACTTCAAAAATTTTCACTTTTCTTTGTGAGAGCTCAAAATCGAGTCGATCAAAGCGATCAAAGCGATCAAAGTCGATCAAAGCCATCCCTTTGATCTTGATTCTTTTTTTTGATGAGACGAAAATCGAAACTTTCCCCTTAATTGACTGAAAATTGTCTTCTTTGTCTGAATTGATTGAATATCTTTTCCTTTCTTTCTTTCTCTTTTCCCTTCAATCATTTCGCCTTTCTAGGTGCGCGCGAGTTCCTCAGAGAACTCGTTATCGGCGAATGGGGGAATCGCCATCACAATTGATCCAACCGATCCCGATCATCGATCTCATCTCCATCACAAAGAACATGTGGGTTTTTTTGAAAGGTTTTTGAAAGGTTTTTAAAAGGTTATTGAAAGGTTTTATCAATTTCATTTAAGTTAGTTTGTTTGCAGCCATGCTCTGCCTCTTTTTCGATCCCTTTTGCCCAGGTCCGATCTGAGAATGGGGAGCAAAAGATCTTTAGATCTTTAAATCTTTAAATCTAGATCTGTAGATCTTTAAATCTTTAGATCTGTAGATCTTTAGATCTTTAGTTCTTTAAATCTTTAGATCTTTAAATCTTTAGATCTTTAGTTCTTTAAATCTTTAGATCTTTAAATCTTTAAATCTATTGAGTTGGGGAGAATGAGTCGGCGCCGAAAATGAAAAAAATGTCTAAAACTTCTATTCGACTTCGTCAAATAATATGCGTTTGATATGAGTAGAATGGTTAACTAATTCTCTACAAAATCACATTTAAAAGAAAATTCAAACAGCGCCTCCGCTCAAGAAAAAGCCATTTTTTCACAAAAACTACAAACTGTGATCTAGAAAAAACCATTGGTGGGATCTTCCTGCAAATTTGGCAACTTAAGTAATTGAATGTGCTCTATCTTTTTTATATAAACACCAAAGAAGGTTTATGTGAAAGAAACTGTTCAAATGATGAGTCGGACTCTTTGCCATTTTAACCAGCTGCGTTTGGAAGTTCATAAACTCCACGAAAGAAAAGCTTTGTGGAATCTCTCAAAAGTGATTTTGTAGAGAAATAGTGGATACTTTTGATGAAACCAAACGTATGTTTAAAGAAGGCTTTATGTGTGCAAAAAGTCCCTTTAAAGTTTGGCGCCGACTCATTCTCCCCAACCCAATAGATCTTTAAATCCACTGCCAATTCTTTGTTCTCATGTCTGTTATAAACAATCTCAGTTCCTCACCGATTACACGCCCGCAGAAGTAACAAAATAAGTAACAAAATACCATCTTTAGATATGAACAAAAGAGGTTCTTTGTCATTTACTTTGTCATTTACTCAAAAACATCGGTTACTCAAAAAAAAATGAAACCGTTATGAAGCAATTAAATGCTAATGCTAATAGCAATTAAATGCTTGTTCCCTTCTCGGGTGTGTAATCGATAAGTACCCAGCTAAAAGATAAAATGCCAAGGTGATCCCTTAAAAATTAGAATCCAAAACTAATTTTATAGCCAAAATTTGAGCTGTCTTTTTGCTAGCATACCCCCGCAAACTTGTTTTCTATTTGTTACTCATCTATTTTTTATTATTCCTTACCAAAAACATTCGTAGTGTAGTGTTCAAAAAGGAAATACAAATATTTTTTTTACAATCTTTGTCTTTTTTTTCTTTGTGTACTTTGAGATTAAAGCGTGCAAACACAAATTTTCTCGTGCCATTCACTTTGTCAAGACACCAAAATCGTTGTTTTGACAAAAGAAATGATTGCAGTGCACGAGAAAAGATGGGTTTTCAATCTACAAGCACAAAGAACAGGTTGAATAGTTGTTTTTATTTTTTTTTTTGCTGAATACCGTAGCACATCGAATCCGCTACTATGGGAAAACACTTTTGACTTAAAATCAAAAATCCGAATTCGGACAATTCTTAGTTATTGTCCAGACAAGAAAATCCTTTTACTTTTATCATATTATTACTATAAATAAATACAAATAAATATTCTTTTACGAAATATACTGAAATTCACATCTTCTAGAGTGTTTTTTTAATATAGATCCAGAATAAAAACACCTAGGAACTCAATTTTGCTTCTGCGGTCCTGAAATGGGCACTCTTCCCTATATTTGTATAAAAGTGACGCCGGAAAAAACCCTCAGAACTCATCGCAAACAAAATGCAGAGATAATGGCAAGGGTATCGTTAGAAAGAGTAAAACCAGGGCTACAACTTTGTAATGCATCGTTTGGCACGTTCTTGTGGAGTGAATATGAGAAAAATCGGAAAAATCGAAATTTTGACGAATTCCTTAACATTTTGTTCGTAAAACTTTACTCCGTAATAACTTTTTTGTGAGTAGAGGGATTTTTCTCAAACTTTGGATTTTTCTTGTCTGGACAATAACTAAGAATTGTCCGAATTCGGATTTTTGATTCCAAGGCATTTTTTTTTTGGACGCGTTGTGCGTAGTGCTCTCTAATAGTAGTACACCTTGAGCGTTGCCTAAATTGATTGAAATCTCGAGAGCCGCTTATCAGAACCTATCGATGATCGGGAAATATAGCTGACGATGTGATCTACTGGGGGATTAGAGTGTTGAGCTTCTGCGAAAACTTGGGAACGATAAAATAGTCATCAACTCGGCTCGCACTATTATTAGTCATAGTGGATAGTGAATATCGTATAAAAGAGTGATAAAAGTGCGTTTTTTCAAATTACGACTTGCATCACGGTGAAGCAATGAACGGGTAAACACCTGTAAAGTATAACATTTAAAGAAAAAAAACCAAAACCAAGAGCGAAACCGAAGCCCGGTCTCAACGTCTAGAGTACTACCGAGAGACGGTCCCACTATCCACTAGGCCACCGGTGCTGATAATTCAGCGAGGGAAAAGCACCCTTTAGCCCTCAAATTACTAAGATGACTAAGATTTAGTAAGATGTAACGAAAGCTCATGAAAAGTTCGTGCCTTTCCCTAGTTACCGTAAAACTTCTCCGAATAAGATTACCGTATTTTCTCTAATATTAGGTTGATGCATAAGTGTTTTTGTTCCTTTCGTCTGCCGTTTCAAGCCAACAAATGCACGAATTAAACTACGGTTGATTTCATTAGAAAAAGCAATTATTTTTCTGCAAAATAACATTAAAACGGGTTTAAAAATATTGAATGCCTGGATTTTCTTGAGAGTATGAAGTCGGGTAGTCAAAAAGGGCTAACTCGATGATGCGGTTTAGACACCTTAGCTAAAGAAAACCTATCTTCGTGTCAATAGATAAAAGATAGAGAAAAAAAACGTTTGATATTTCGCCAAAATTTCAGAGAAATTCATTCAGCCAATTTTTCCGTAGAGTTTTTTATAGATTTTTACGAAAAAGGCGTTTTTCACTCTCGAATTTGCTTGAAAGTCAACCGAAATTCATTTAAAAAGATGCAAATTCAACAAAAAAACACTTTTTTTTATAGAGCAAACTATAGATTACCGTATTCTCTCTAATAATAGTGCACTCTTTAATAGTAGTGCACTCTCTAATAGTATTGCGGTCCGAGAGGGGGTTGAAAAAATAGTAGTGCACCAACGAAAATTTGAATTTCTGGTGCTTCTTTTTCATCTAAACCTTTTTGACTTTATGTTTATGTGACATTCTAAAGCTATTCAAGCAAGCAAAAGTGAGGCTTTTTTATTCATTTATTAACTATTCTTCACATGAAAAAGTTAGCAAAATCTAAAATTGTTGTGCAAGGCAAAAACATTTGTGTTGTTTGTCAAGACACAAATTGTCAACTCGCCGGCCCACAACTGTATAGGCGTTGTGGGCCTACGAGTTGACAATTTGTGTCTTGACAAACAACACAAAGATGTTTTTGCCCTTTGCACAACAATTTTAGGGGCCAAAAGGAGCCAAAGGAGTACGTGAAAGAGTTGCAAGAATTTTTGGAACAAATCTTATATCTGTCTTACTTTGGTAAATGATAAAACTCTTTAATAGTACTGCACTCTCTAATAGTATTGCGGTCCAGAAGGGAGTTCAAAAAATAGTAGTGCGCACTACTATTAGAGAGAATACGGTAATTGGTGAATTTGTTACTTTTTAACAGAAGTACGAAAAAAACGAAAAGACTTTTGCATCAACCTAATAGTATTGCACCCTAAATTGTTCGAAATCTCGAGAACCGCTTATCAGAACCTATCGATGTGGGGTCGGAAAATGTAGCTGACGATGAGATCTTGTGGGGGATTAGAGTGTTGAGCTTCTTGGAAAAGCTTGGGAACGATAAAATAGTCATCAAACTCGGCTCGGCCGGAGGGAGGGGGGAGAGGGCACTACAATTAGAGAGAATACGGTAGTTGCTTTTGTATGTACTCTAATATCGATGTTTTTGCATCAATGAATGATCGATTTAATCAATTTCATCCATTGATCCATTTCATCCATTTCATTCAATCAATCCATTTCATTCAATCAATCCATTGTGAATACACGCAAAATTGCTAGCCCAGTGTTGCTTCTTTTGTTCAACTCACATTCCTCGTGATTTGTTTATAAAATTGAAACGAGACCCATGAAATCACGTGATCGTTTTGTCATTTTTCACATTTTCTATTCAATTTCATTTAATTTCACTTTTTTTTTCATCCAAATTCCTCTACAATCGACCCTAGATTTGCTAGAAATACGTTAGAAAGTTCACCGGAAAGTCTGCTTTCACGATTTTCGAGCACAACACCAAATTCATATGCAAATTCCTTAGAACTTTAATGGGGTACTCATGGCTAAAAGTTGTCTTTCAAGAATCGCGATCATTTATCTAACAGTAACAATAACAGTTCAGCTGTTTTTTATGAATCTTCCCACAATTGATCAAAATCTATCCTTTTTACACATCTTTTCCATATTTTACACCGATTTTCCCAAAAAAACCGATGAATTTTAATTACGTCATTGGGAATCGATCTTTTTTTCTGTCGATTCTTTCTGTCGCCTTTTGTGCCCCCGTTTTTGTCCCGGATTTGATGAGAATTCGCATCTAGTCTACCATAAAAGTGCGGAATTTATTGGAAACAAAATAATATTGAAAATAATATTTAAAACAAGATTGAAAACAAGATTGTTATTCAAATCAATATTGCTATTCAGAGCAATATTGCTATTCAGAGCAATATTTCTATTCAGAGCAATATTGCTATTCAGAACAATATTGAAAAGAATATTCAAAAGCTCTTCAAATGTACTCGTGACTTTTCTCGATTTTTCAGATGAACGAACCCCGACAATCGGAAGCGTTGAAGACGGTGATCGCCTTTTTTTGCTTAACGGTCAGCTTTTAGAGAATCCTAAATGATATACGAATAGAAAATAAAAGAAACTAGATAAACTAAAAGAAAAAAAAACTAGATAAACTAGAACTAGATAACCTAGAAACTAGATAAACTAGAAGCTAGATAAACTAGAAACTAGATATTGCTATAATGGGTTCCAGAATCGGTACTAAAAGCCAGAAACCTGACTGGCTGATGCTACTGGCTCATTTCCTAAGCCTAGACTGCCTAAATTTGCCTAGGCAAGCCCAGTCAAAAAATTAGCATAATATTCAATCGAAAAGTTCTTTAACATTTGTCTAGATTTGTCTAGACTTGTCTAGACTTGTTTTCATTCGTTTAGAATCAATTTCAAAGTAACTTTTAAATTGCTCAATGCTATGCTCAATGCTTTTAACTGTTTAAAGCTATTTTTAGCTGCTTAAAGCAATTTATTAGTCCTCAACAAGTTTGCAGCGATAAATAACAAGTAACAAGTAGCAAGTAACAAGTTAAAACAAGTTAAAACGAGTTAAAACAAGATAAAACAAGTTAAAACCAGTTAAACAAGATAAAACCAGTTAAAACAAGTTAAAACAAGTTAAAACAAGTTAAAACGAGTTAAAACAAGTTAAAACAAGTTAAAACGAGTTAAAACAAGTTAAAACGAGTTAAAACGAGTTAAAACGAGCTAAAACAAGTTAAAACAAGTTAAAACCAGTTAAAACAAGTTAAAACGAGTTAAAACGAGTTAAAACGAGCTAAAACAAGTTAAAACCAGTTAAAACCAGTTAAAACCAGTTAAAACCAGTTAAAACAAGCTAAAACCAGTTTAAACAAGTTATTTTCAAAGTCTAGCCAAACTTTGTCTAGCCAGAATTCGAAATTTACTCTAATTACTCTAACCACCAGAAGAAGGGACAATTTTGGACAAAAAGAGACAATTTTCAAGTCCAGTTTCAGTTTTCAAGTCCATTATTTCTCATTTTCAGATCTCAGCTTTTCTGAACTTTTTCCTATTGACGGTGATTCATGATATCGTTCCCCGTGAACCCCTCCCAGACATCGTTTTTCTCACAATTCCCCAACAAAGATGGGCATGGAGTGTAGGAGATGTGCTGTCGACGTTGAGGTAAGAGCCTAACGCCATTCTCTAAAAGGAATCAAACTCGTTCAGCAAAGGAATCAAACTACAGAGTTTGACGTTTAATATTTGAAGTTATTTGAATTATATTTATAGTTATAGTTCAATATTTGAACAATAGATTACTCGATTTAAATAAACCAATAAATCGCTAGGTTTTGCACAAAGCTACCAGTTACCCAGTAGAGGGTTTTAAAGTCAGAACTTAGCCAGAACTTATTTTAAGACTTACTTTTAAGCATTCGAACAAATCCTTTCTTTTCAGCTCTATTGTCGCATTCACCGTTGTCCTTTGCATCGTGATCGATGGGTGATTTTAAGGAGAATGTTCCTTCTTGGCGCAATTCTTTATGGATTGAGAGCCGTGATTTTGGGAGTCACCTTTTTACCTCCATCATTCCATAACAGGTTTGAAAATGAGCTTTTAAGCAGAAATCTGATCCACATTTAAAGCAAAAGCCATCATTGTTTCTTTTTAGAGATCAAATCTGTCAACTACAAGTCAACCGAACGGCTATGTATGGGGTGGAGATCGCGACGAGGTCAGTTTCTTCAGCCGCTTTTGACTACTTGACTCGAGGCACTCTAAAGGGTGACTAGGGTACCGTAAAGCGTTAGTACATCCTACAATAGCCCAACCACAAGCGATTACTGTGTAAAGAATGTAGAAAAAGATCAAACTAACAAAAATCGGGTTACGGTAGCTGGGACATGCTTTAGGCTCAAGCTAAAGCACAGACAAGTGTTTGAACAAGTTAGTCTGGTCCAACTTACCCATATTCTCTTTAGAAAATCCCAATTAGGCTATCGGGCAAAGGAGGCGGGATATTGACTGCAAAGGGGCGGGGCGCGATAAAAGGAACGCCCGCCCCTCTGCCATTGGCAATTCCAACTTTGAGCTCAAATATCTTGGTGTTGGAGTGGCCCATTTAGTTATTCTTGGTATCATTAGATGCGCCTAGTCTTTCTCTATCGATTGTTACAAATATCATTTAAATTGAACAACCCAATGCTGAGATATTTAAGTTCAAAGTTAAATTGCCAATGGCAAAAGGGGCGGAGCGTTCCTTTTATACGCGCCCGCCCCCTTTGAAGTCCAATATCCCACCTCCTTTGCCCGATAGCCTAGTTGGGATTTTCTAAAGAGAATATGGGTAAGTTAGGCATGAGGCGGCAAAGGGGGCCGGGCTTTCCCATTGGCAATCCAACTTTGCACTTAAATATCTCAGCGTTGGGCTATTCAATTTAAATGATATTTGTACCAATCGATAGAGAAATACTTGATGCATCTAATGATATCAAGAATATTGAAATTGGACAACCGAAAGTCAAGATATTTGAGCTCAAAGTTAGATTGCCAATGGCAAAGGGGCGGAGCGCGTATCAAAAGTCCCACAATCACCCAATTATAGTTTTGAATTTCTCTTCCCATCTTCAGATTCCTCACCTACGTGGTCACTCTGGGGCTGACCTCTGGTCAGGACAAGATCCTCTGCGGTGATCTCATGTTCTCCGGGCATACTGTTGTTCTCACCATCATGTACTTCGTCCAACTACAGTACACCCCAAGAGGGCTCGTCATCTTACGGTAATATAGCAATAAAGTGGATTTGTTCAATGAAACTGTTTAGCTATATTGCGGCTCCGATCACTTTCCCTCGGCATCGCCGCTTTGGTCGTTTCGGGTAAGGGTTTTGAGCCACAAAAAGTACTGTAAAAGTACTGTAAGAGCATTGTAAAAGTACTGTAAAAGTACTGTAAAGAACATACTGTTTCTTTCAGGTGGCCACTACACGATGGACGTTTTAATAGCCTATTGGTTAACATCACACGTCTTTTGGGGATATCATCAAATGTTCGAAATGCCGAAAGTGCAAAGGCCGCACGCACCGATGAGTCGACTATGGTGAGTGCAATTTTAAGGGAAATCAAATAGTGACTTTTCTCTATAACAAATTAATCAAGTAATTAAGTAATTCATTACTTTATTACTTGATTAAACCTTTATTTCATTCTCACTTCATTCCTTCATTCGACTCTCAACTTTTAAAGGTCATATAAAGATTCTAGTAGCGCCAATCAGTTAGGGGATTGGCTTGGCTATAGGAGACATACTCAAAAATGAACTCCAAAAATTTCATACGGATTCATTGAGTTCTCGCTGAGCTAGACCCTCAGAAGTGAGACAGGGTGGCCGCGAGTTAAAGCGACAACCTTTGGAAAAGGATCTGGAATGGAACTAATTTAGTTCAAAAGTATCAAGTGTTGTATAGAGAATTGTAGCCCTTAATCTTGGCTACATTTATCTACCAAAAACTTCCTAATTGGACTCATACAACTCATTTAACAAGCGCTTGAATGAGCGCTAGTCGTCTCACCGGCAAATCTGTCATTTGACCGCTTTCTACCGTTCGGCCAAATGATCTGGCAAATGCCTAACTTATTTCAAAAGTATCAAGTGTTATATAGAGAATTGTAGCCCTGATTCTCAGCTACATTTATCTACCAAAAACATCCTAATTAGACTCATATAACTCATTTAACAAGCGCTTGAATGAGCGCTAGTCGAATCTGTGATTCGGCCGCTTTTCTCTGTCAAAAATTTTTAACAAAAGCTTTTCAATATGCCGAGAATTAGAGCACTTTTTAAAAAACATCGTAGCCATAAAGTTAATAAAGCTGTTCTCATTACTCATTTCAGGTGGTTCTGGCTGTGTTACTGGTTCGAGAGCGATGTGCCCGATGGCCAACTGGAGAATATTTGGGATTGGCCATTCCCAGGGCCCGAAGGAGCACGGAGATTCATGGAAAAACTCAACCATCGCCTACAGTAAACCCCTAAAAGTCGCGAAGCAAAAGGAGACTTTAAATCTCTTCTAAAAGATGACTATTTTCCGAAATTTCCTTTGCCGTTTCTTTTCCATTTTCTCTCTCCGAAACGCGTGCATGTGTTACGGGTTATCCTGTTTTTTTCCCGCCATTTCCCTCCAACTTTAGCTCGACACCATTTCCTTGACTCAATATTTCCCTAGCCTAATCAAAGATTTGAAAAGCTGAAAGATTTCGACCTAAAATATTGTCATTTTCGGTAAATTTGATAGAGTAACTATTAAGTTGAGGAGAAAGTTCCGCCAATTTTCTTGAAAGACTGTCTTAAACTTATTCGATTTAATCATGTAATAGCTCATTCGAAGCTATTTATCTAGCGGATTAAATAGAAAAGACCGTTTATCGATTCATCAACATTCAAAGTTTTTGCAGCCTTTTACTGAGACGTCTTTGACCCCAACTTTCAAAAAATGGCTTTATTTGTTTTGTAAGGAAACCTGTGCTGAAATCATGTTTTCGGAATCAGCGTTAAAAATTACCCTAGAATACGAGAGAATTGTTTTTTTAAAAACTGACTTGACCCGGAATCGAAGCCTCGATCCTCGGGTTGGATGGTAATCCGAAGGTCGAGGGTTCGATTCCGGGTCAAGTCAGTTTTTTTCCAAAAAAATTTTTCTAAAAAAATAATTCTCTCGTATTCTAGGGTAATTTTTAACGCTGATTCCGAAAAACATGGTTTCAGCACAGGTTTCCTTACAAAAAAAACAAATAAAGCTCATCTTTTGAAAGTTGGGTCAAAGACGCCTCAGTAAAAAGGCTGGAAAAACTTTGGAAAGTTGATGAATCGATAAACGGTCTTTTCTATTTAATCCGCTAGATAAATAGCTTTCGAATGAGCTATTACATGATTAAATCGAATAAGTTTAAGACAGTCTTTCAAGAAAATTGGCGAGAGCTTTCTCACCCAGTGAGTTTCAAATTTCGAGTTGAAGTCAACTTTTCAAAAATTGTTTTAAATCAAATCTACTTGACTAAATTGTCTGAAATTGTTCGACTAGACCCAGAAATATTTCAGTTTTTCAAATCTGAACTTAAATTCGAAAAATCTTGCGTCAGGGAAGAGTTGAAGCGATCGAAAGGTGGCTGATGCAAATGTCCCTTACCGGTTTTCATTTCCTGTATGATCATATGGCAAATCTATGTTGCAGTAAGCTAATATATTTTAAAACGATTTAAAACGGTTTAAAACGGTTTAGAACGGTTTAGAACGGTTTAAAATAGTTTTAAAACGGTTTTAAAACGATTTAAAACGATTTAAAACGATTTAAACAGTTTTAAAACGGTTTAAAACAGTTTAAAACGATTTACAACGGTTTTAAAACGATTTAAAACAATTTAAAACAGTTTTAAAACGGTTTAAAACAGTTTTAAGACAATTTAAAACTATTTAAAAACGGTTTTAAAAGGGTTTAAAACGGTTTAGTACGGTTTAAAACAGTTTACAATGGTTTAAAACGGTTTAAAACGGTTTAAAACCGTTTAAAACGGTTTAAAACGATTTAAAACGGTTTAAAACGGTTTAAAACGGTTTAAAACGGTTTAAAACGGTTTAAAACGATTTAAAACGATTTAAAACGATTTAAAAGGATTTAAAACAGTTTTAAAACGATTTAAAAACAGTTTTAAAACGGTTTAAAACAGTTTGTCGGTTTTAAAACGATCAACCTTTAGCCATTTAATAAAATTTAAAGACTAAAACTCACTCGATGCGTTCCAACATTGGCTAAATGCTCAAAATGTGTCTCTCGGCTCGCAAGATTCCCCTTTACCAGGTCGTCGATTCATGTAAAGGCATTTCGTTGATAGATCCTCTTTCCCAAGCTGTATGATTAGTGTTATTCCTCAACTGTATGATTAGTGTTATTTGATTTCCCTCATTTTTTGTTCATTCTCCTTCCTCAATTTCCAATTCTTCTCTCCAATTCTTCTCTCCAATTCTTCTCTCCAATTCTTCTCTCCAATTCTTCTTCCAATTCTTCCCCAATTCTTCTTCCAATTCTTCTCTCCAATTCTTCTCTCCAACCTTCCAATTCTTCTCTCCAATTCTTCTCTCCAATTCTTCTTCCAATTCTTCTTTCCAATAGCTCATTTCCTTCCTACTGGTCTCATAAGTATGAAATTTGTGCTTCCAAAACAATATCAACGATTACAATTTTGGTACTTAACAACGATCGATCCCATTTCTTGTTCTTACTGGTTACTGGCTTTGTGCTTCAGAATTCAGAACTTTTGGTGCAATAGATCGCTTGCGTTTCTGCAAGAACCCCAAAATACACTAGACTTTTATATTTTTATACTTTTATATAAACTTTTACCATCTTGAGATCAAAAAAACGCTCGAAATAGCTCGAAAATGAATTTCTCATGTGGAAAAGTTGAAACAAATTCACTGAATACTTATTTATTTCCCCCAGAAATTTTCCTTTGCTTTATCCAAACCGGTGCCCTTTTTCTTCCCAGATTTGTGCTTAAAAAAAGTGAAATTTTTTTTGGGATTTTCTGTAAATAATGAGTTTCCCCTTGAAGATTCTCCGGTGATCATTCATTTTTCAGTTTTCACCAATGTTTTTCAGAGATTTTCTGCTATTCAGCGTGTTAGCCATAAAGTGTTTGATTGTGTTTTTGTTTTTACTAAAGAAGACAAAAGAAATGACAAACAGAAAGCAAAAAAATGGCCGACTGCTTTGGCTGACTGCCATGGCCGACTGCCATGGCCGACTGCCTTGACCGACTGCCTTGGCTGACTGCTTTGGCCGACTGCTTTGGCCGACTGCTTTGGCCGATTGCCTTGGCTGACTGCCTTGGCTGACTGCTTTGGCCGACTCGCTTTGGCCGACTGCATTGGCTGACTGCTTTGGCTGACTGCTTTGGCCGACTGCTTTGGCCGACTGCCTTGGCCGATCGCCTTGGCTGACTGCCTTGGCTGACCGCCTTGGCTGACTGCTTTGGCCGACTGCTTTGGCCGACTGCATTGGCTGACTGCTTTGGCTGACTGCTTGGCCGACTGCCTTGGCTGACTGCCTTGGCTGACTGCTTTGGCCGACTGCCTTGGCCGACTGCTTTCAAGACATAAAGGTGTGACAGCGTGAGACAAGCAGAGAGAGACAGTGAACAGAAATCCGCAGCACTACGAGTACAAAATGCAATATTAATAGCTTAAAAAATCGGATTCCAGTGAAATGATGTGATTCTAGATTTCACAGGATCAGATTTTTCATCTACCGATATGCATTTTTTACATTCACTAAAAAATTGCCTTACTGCCTTACCCAGGGCCTTATGCCTTACTTGCCTTACTATCTACAAGTCTATCCATAATTTTCCCAATTTTATTTACTTCTCCTTTTACAGTGGATTCGAATCAATAGATTATCCTCACGTCAGCTTTTCTTCAGTCAGCGTGCTGATGGGAAGAGTTGATGTCTGCGTGTCTTTCCCCTTCTTCCCCTTCTTCTCCTTCCCCTTTCCCCCTTTTCCATTTCCCCATTCTTGTCTCTTTTTCATCGCTTTGTCAGCTTCGTTTTCCTTTTTCTCTTTTTCCAACGAATCTCCTCTTTTCCTCTTCATTCATTCATTCATTCAGCAATGCACACAAAATTTGCAATCAAAACATTTGAATGGATTTCAATGTTCAATCCGATTGCCACACGTGCACAAGAACTTTCTCAACGTAATCTTGCCCCATTTTTGCCCCATTTTACTCCATTTTACTCCATTTTGCCCATTTTTACCCCAACACTTCGAATTTGGACACTCTCTTTATCTTTTCAGCTTTTGAGCGCTGTCAATGCCGAAGTTGGCATACAGCTTTGAATATCATTTAACCGATTCAACGATCGCGAAATCGCTTCTCCACTTCATCGCCATCTCATCGAGAATTTCATCGATAATTGAATGCTTTCAAATTTCTTGATTCCTTGATTTCTTTTCCACTACACCAGAACAAACCTAGGACCATTCCACACCTGATTTTAGAGTCAGGCCAGCCAAGCCTAGGTCATATTTTTGTAAAACCTTAGACTATGCCAGCGTCGAGTCAGCCCAAGAATCAGGCAAATCGGTCACGAGCTTGGCTTCAGCTTTGCCTGGGGAATTATCCTTTGGATCATTTTGTACATCCCTGCGGACTATGTGGAGTTAGATCATTGAATTTTGTCTACTATTTTGTGTTCATTGTTTTCTCTGAGCGCACTCATCAGTTCTGTTTGCATCGAAAAAAGCGAATATTGCAGAAAAGGGAGTCTTTGAATAAGATTTCAGTTCTTTTCATAGCTTTTAATAGCCATGAAAAGAATTGAAATCTTCCATAGCTATTTGAGCTATTCTTTCCATAGCTTAGTCGATTTTGAATCGATTCTTCTGACCGGAAATGGGTTTGGAAAAATCGATCAGTTGGGTAAACGAGTTGGAATCGGTTTTTGTTTTGACTGGTTGACTTGTTTTGACTGACTTTTGATTTTTGACTGCTTTGTTATGCAATTTTGAAAATTTTAGCTTTGGAATTGATACTAAGTTACTTTAATTCCTTACCACAAAACATTTTTTATTCCTTGTCCTTGATTTGTCTGAAATGACTTATCACATTTCTTTTCTTGCTATCAGCAATCGCGTAGCAATCGTACGAGAAGAATAAAGTTCATTTTTTCTGGCTGACAATGAGATCATTCCAAATTTCTTCGGTGTATTTCTTTTGCTTGAGAATCGAAACACACCCTCTCTGGGTTTCTTCGTTTAGGTGCTCAAATGGGTTTCACGCACTTGTTTCTTCATTTAGGTGCTCAAATTCCACATTTCCTAATTTTTATACAGATTAACACCTATAATCCGTGAACAATTAAATATCTTTGGCTCTACACTTTCCAGCCACCCAAAGCCAGGTCTGGCTGGCTCTGGCTCTTAAGAATTAAGGTCTGGCTTAAGGTCTGGCTTTTTAAGAATTAGATTCCTATTGACATGCGGTTTTAAGGTGCTAGCAAAAGTATTGCGTTTTTTTGCGCTAAAATTCTTTTGCGCCAATTTCATTTACGCAGAGTATCATTTGCGCTAAATTTACGCCAAATTTGACAAATTTGACAAATGACAAATCACTTTTCACTTTCCCCAACTTTTAACCAACTTTTTTTCAGTTTTCTACTTCAAAATTTTATTTCTCACTATTTTCAATTAGAAAACACGTTTAAATACCTATACAGACCCCAAAAAAACAGTCATTTTTATGTTCCCGATTCGACTTTTTACTCCCCTATATCGATCCTATGCCATTTTTAGATTTGGTGAAAGTGGCAAAGCATCGTCGACGAGGAAAAAATATAAATGGAAAAAAATATATAAATGATCAATCAGAGTTGATAGGAAAGTGTGTTGAAAAGTGCAAATTTGATGCAAATGATACGTGGCGCGAAAAATGGCGCAAATCGGCGCGCTTTCTAAAGCATTAATAGCCTTTCTAAAGCTTTGAACTTAATAAATGGTTCTACCTTCAACCTAACTCACTTCCTCCCATCATTTCTTGTTGTTATGGTCAAGTGTGTGTCGCTTAATCTTAGCTAGGTCCCTATTGACCTGCCATTTTAAGGCACTGGCGCAAAAGCGCCACGACGCGCTTTCTAAAGAGTGGATACGCACCGTACCCTGCACAAAAATTCCCCTTTTGCCATTCTTTTCATTTTGATTCAATAATGGAACTTTGCCCGGCTTTTGGGGGTGGCGAGTTTGCGCCAAATTTTTTGCGCAACTAGGTCTTTTGCGCAACTCACCATCACTTTATTCTAAGTAAGCGAATCTTTATGATTTTGGTGTCATTTTGTTACACTTGTTGAGATCTAATGACCCAGTTGGGCAAAAGATTTGGCGCAAAGTAGCCACCCCTCCGCCCGGCTTTTATCCCAAATTGCGCTAAGTTTCCTTCCCCCTTCGTAAAATCTATTATGTTTTTGTAGTTATGTTTCATTTATCGTTTATCTATCATCTAGTATCTATTATCTATTATCTATTATCTATTAAGTACTCTCTCCCCTCGCTCGTCCCCCTCCTTTTTATATTCTTTACCTATAGTTTGTTTTTTTAAAATTCTAATGGTTTTATTTCGTTTTCTTTTCGGCTCCTTCCACTTCATTGTTTCGCATCCGTTCACGCATGCCGTATAAACTCAATTTGACCAATTTCTTTTAACTATATAACGCAAATCGGTGCTATAGTAGTTGAAGGGAGGGCAAAAAGCTTTTTCGCTAAATGAGCTGATTTTTCTGTATCCAGGGGTTTTTGACTATGCTGAATCGATTGGTGACGGTTTCAAACAACATTCCACAACTTTTAACAAATTTCGCAAGCAACATAATACTGAAAACCTGATTTCTGGGATGTTCTGGGATGAAATGGCCAAAAGGTACCCGTTGTCTTAAATCAAGTCCTCGTTGGTAACTTGTTGACATTTTGTTTTTGTTATTTTTGTTTATATTTGTTATAAACGTTGTTAAAAGTTGTGGAATGTTGTGTGAAACCATCACCAATCAATTCAGCATAGTCAAAAACCCCTGGGTGCAAAAAAATCAGCTCATTTGACGAAAAAAAATCCCCCAACAGATTATTTAGATAGCTCCCGCAAATCTAAATAATCTGTTACGGCGCGATTTTCTTGTTACTTTGTCTCGGGTTTCGTGTCAAATCATTCTAGAAAACGGTTGATAAAGGTGTTAGGTAAGGGAGTTAGTTTCTATCTTAAGCTTATACGTCATAGATGAAACCAATCGATTTATTTCGGTGCATAGCTGGAGGTGTTTGTGTGACGGGTTTTTTTCTCCTCTCCTCTCCTCTCCTCCCCTTCACAGCCGTTATTTGTGCTCGTTCGTTCGTCTACCCAATGCCGATCTCATTTCTCCCTTTCCTCTCCTTTTTCCCCATCCACTTTCTAACCCTTCACTTTTCCATGTATTTCCACAATTTTCTTATCTCTTTTCCCACTTTTTACCTGAAAATGCTTGCCATTTCTTGTCTGTTTTCTCCAAATTGATTCATTCGTTTTTTCCTGATGCCTAGAAATTGAAAAAGTTTTGTTTTTTTGTTTTATTTTATAAAATGACAAAAAACAATTGATAAACAATCAGTTTATCGATTGGTTTTTGATAATTGGCAAATTTTTCTCTAAAAATTTCCATTAAGGCTTAGGCTTAGTTTTTGTGACAAATTTTTTTTCTAATTCGAAGCAATTTGATTTTAAAAATTGAGGACAAAGAAAATTAAAAGAAAAGAAAGTTAATTCACTAAAATTTTCACACACTTCACCCTTTTTACGGTAAAATTTTAGCGAATTACGTGTTTTTTTCAAAAATTTGTTTAACTCCCATTTTCCCACCTTATTCTTGAGCTTGTTTACCATTTAAACCATATAAATTGATTCAATTCCCAATTCAATTTTTTGTTTTTATGAAAAATACTCGAAATTTCAGATAACCAAATCTTCATGGATAATGCGACGAAAGCTGCGAAAATCAACAAATACATGAAGCAGTTGAAAAATGAAGATATGGTAGGTCTTTGATGAATTTTATTTGAATACCGTATTTTCTGTAATAGTAGTGCAGTCTATAAAGTAGTGCAAGCGGAGGGCTGAAAAAAGTAGTGCACTACTATTACAAAAATACGGTATTATATTGCTAGATGGTTCACGAGTGTCAAAAAAAAACTCTAACTGTCATTTTGATTTCTTAAAGTTCTGATTGAGTCGTTTTTAGAGGTACCGCGCTCTCGAGAAACTTGGACAAATCGAGATGTCCGTACAACTTTTGGCGGATACAAAGGTCGGTGATTTTACTGTTTTAAGTGTAACTCAGCACTCAGATGTGCAATCATCTCGCGCTTTGTTTCAATAGATAATTTTTTATAGAACCTAACCTAATAAAAGCCTAATGTAACCTAATAAAACTAAATTCAGCGCTGAAATGTTCATGACCACCAAAATTTTTGCTAAATCCTCCAAAAACAAGTGCCGTGCCAAGCAACTCCTCAATGCCAACTTTGAGGTTCTATAAAAAAGACAGAAAAAGTTTTTGTCGTTAAACCTAAGAATCCAGCGTAGAAAAATATCCAAATTTTCTAATAAAACAAAGCGTGAGATGTTTGCACATCTGAGTGCTGAGTTACACTTTAAATACTGAGTCCGGGTAATTATTGAACCCTGTAGAAATGAAATTGAGCAATAAAGTCCTAATGCATCATACTTTTACCGGATTTTCTTTTCATAAATCTAAAACAATCATACTTAAATCTAGTTCGTTAAAAATCTAAAGTCTTATCAAATTTTCTAGGTGGGAAAAGCTGTGAACAAATGGGCTTGCGATGATTCTGTGGGAGAGATGGCGAGTGATATCATCGAGAAGTGGAAGGTGCTCGCGAGACGGGCAGGATATGAAGAATCATCAAAAAGGACGAGAAGTGAGAGGTGAGTATTGGGTCAATTACAAGCGGAGATTTTTAAATTTAAACAACGTTTTAATTCCTGAATTTTAGCCCCGATAGTCCACCGCCGGTGAAACGTTCCAAATTGAGGGAATCCGATTCACAAAAACGAGACGAAAGCCCCACAAAGAAGACGAAAAAGTTGGTGATCTAAAGTGAAGATAAACGAAAGTAAAGTCCAATAAATGCTGGATCTTTTATGATATAGTTATCTTCAGGGAAAGCAAGAAGGTGGCCATCGCTCCATCAAATGATTTTGATGCGATGCTCGCACAAGCCGACAAGATCCAAGCCCGACCAAAGGCAAACAAATTTCATCTCACCGCCGCCGATTTGGACACAAATTATCGACCGCTCTCCCTGAGTAAACCCAAGGAAAGACCGAGTACGTTTAGAAAAGCTTGAGATATTTTGTGCTTAGAACGTAAAAGCTACTAGAACGGCCTCCTAGAGAAGCGTCGTATAGTCGTGAAGTTTACTCTCAAAAAAACGCTCACACCTCAACACTAGTACGTTTGTTTCTGCGCATTTGGGTATCAAATCAAAGTAGAAAAGATTGGTGATTTTTTGAGATACATATAACACATATTTTTAGCATTAACCAGCGCTTAGAAAAAAATTATTGAAAATCGGCGAAAGTCGGCTCTTTTTTGGCACTTTTCAATCATTTTTTGTAAGCACTGGTTAAAACTAAAGTTCATGTAATAGCTTAAAAAATTCCCGATCTTTGTACTTCAATTTGATACCTAAACGCGCAGAAACAGATGTCTGGGCGCCGAGATATGAGCGGTTCTTTGAGTGTAAAGTTAGACTAGGCGACGCTCTTATAGGCTCTTCTATTAGAGTTTTTACGGTATGAGTTCAACTACTTATTGACAGAATGTTCAAACGGGGTACTGAAGCTAGGCTGGGCTGGGTAAAACCGATTTTAGATCATTCGTACACAGAGTACAGTTCAGCAGAACAATTTTGTACCTATTTAAACTAAAAAGTAAAACTTTTTCCAAATTCTTTTGTTTACATTCATGATATCTTTTTTCCAGCGTCAAGCCATGAGGACAATCACATCCATGAGGACATCCTGAAGTACCGGATGACCGACCGACAACGAGTGTTCGCTGGAAGGAAAAAGGCGACGGGGATGACAAAAGTGGAGACATTGTTCACGCTATGTTTGCGAACGGTTGGGAACAACATTAATTGTAAGTCGTTAAAAGCAAACTGAATGCAAAAATTCTTTGATGTAAAAACAAATTACTTTTCGTTTTTCTTGATCGGTGTTGGTTTTGGAAAAGTTTCTTATTCATATTTTTTTTCAGTGATTGAGGACACCGGTGACATTCCATTCTACATTTTGCGACCAGTCTTGGAGAAGTGTACACCCGAGCAATTGGCCTATATTGAGTCGAAAAATCCGGTAAGTTGCTTTGCGAAATGGTGTAACAGGTCCTCAGATTTACTTGTCCTTAGCAATCCATCAAATTTATTGGAAACTTTTGAATGTTTTTATTTAAGATCCTCGAAGAAGACGGTGATTGTCTCTGGGAACAACACTTCAAAATGAAATTCCCATCAGAAACGACGAATGAAGAGGAATCGTGGAAGTACGCCTATTTCAGAACGGATCGACAAAAGAAAGGAGACGAGAAAAATGTAAGAACTGTAAAAATGAGATTAAAGACCGAAATCAACCCTAAATTTTTGTTTTTCAGAAGCTGGCGAAACTCCGGGAAAAGATCGGCGGGCAGGTGGTGGTGGCTGGAAGCGGAAGACAGGTTAGTGTTTGCTGAAACATTGGCTAAAAGATGCGAAAATGACTGAAGATCTACAAAATACTTCTAAACCGTTAAAATTGAATGCATTTAGGCGATCATGGCCGATGCGACTGCTCCAAGACATATCAAACGACGACAAATGAACAACGGATCGGCTTTCTCGGCAAAACCGATTCCATCAGCGTTAGAAGTGAGAAAGGCTCGAAGGGAAATCTTTGATACAGGTAAATGATTTAACGACATTTTTACTGAGATAGGGTTAGCTTTGAATTGAACAATTAGCATTTCAAAAGTGGCCAACATAGAATAGGAAAAATTGACTGGATATCTTTATCCTAAAGTAGATTTGTTTAACGGTTCAAATAATTACCTAAAGATACGATTTAGGGCTGTTCATGCCTTAACTTTTAATAAAGTAAAGTAAGGAATGGTAAAGAAAGATTTCCGGAGAGGGGATTGAACCCTTGACCCTTTTTCCCTTTCCAAGCAGATGCTCTAACCACTGAGCTATCAGATATCTTCTTACCAGAGAAGAAACAGGAAGTACAAGGAGGAAGAGAAAGAAAGAAGTTACTGTCTCTGTGAGTGCCTGTGTACTTTCCTGCTAATCTAATAGACTTGGGTACAAAAAGCTTGAAAATTCTCTTCACTTTCAATAGCCGAAGAGATTTAATAAATTTGGCTATAAGTTTATAAGCAAGGTTATAAGTTTTCTTGTTTCTTTTGCAATAAATTGTGGATGTGTTACTCACAATCCTGAAATGTTAGATTTTGTGTTCGGTTTCATTAATCTTATGCACCAGCGCAGTGAAAGTTTACTAAACCGCCCAGCTTTAAGATTCATTTATGATAATTTTAATTTTCAAATCGATTCCTTATTCCCTATTCCAGGTAACACGTCAAACCTTCGCTCAATGTCTTCAATGGTGAACAATTTGGGCGGATCGGGTGGGGGTGGGCATCGAACGAAGAAAGAGCCGCCAAAGAAGAAAGCGCCGTTGATGGTGAAAACGCTGAAGATGTTGAATTGGAAGAGGAAATGAAATTGCAATAATGTTAGTACAATATGTTCAATTGTTGGATTTACATTTAATGTGCACAAAATTCTCAAATGTGATTTGTAATTTCTTTTTCTTTTGTTAAACGGAGGAATTTTAGTCGTCGCTAGATTGGAGATTGGGTTTTCTAAACGGTGCTTCTAGACTCTTGACTTACTCTAGACTCTTTTAAACCTATCGTGTCCTTGCCAAAGTTTGAAAATAACTTATTTTGGATAGGCGCTGAATACTTTTTGTTACAAAATTTATGTGATTTCACCAAAGAAATAGTAGATAATCTGAACTGCAGTAAGAGCTAAATTAAGGAGCAAACATGGTGCCTGGTAGCCTCAAAAACAGCCAATCAAAGAAAATTCGATCTCTTTGTTTGGTAACGGCAAAAACTCCCCGTTATAGGCTTTTCGATGCACACTTTTCTAGTTGTTATTTTATTTGGTCTTATATTCAAATCTTTTAAGGTTTCCTACATGGGTTCATTTATAGTCGGGAATCGTATTTGGCTTGTAAATCACCTTTCCCTTAAATCTTGTGCTGGTAATGTGTTTTATTATCTGAAAAGTAACGGTTATCCTTTTTTTGAGTTTACGGTTTTCAAATTCGCAACTCATCCCGTTCATCGAGTTGCCCATCGATTCTAAACAATTTTCTTGAAATTCGTATCGATTCTCATTTGTAATATTTATCTTTTTTCGGCTGGTTGGATTATTTGATTTTGGTGATAATATCGTTTTTTTTTTAGTTTGGTCGCGTGCCAATTTGCTACACTTGGTTCTCGAAATCAGCTTTGATTTCCTTAAAAGCAAACTTTGATAACCTATCTGAAAGAAGAATGTTTTTCTTTGAAACTATACTTTACATAGTCAAATGGCTTTTGAAATTATCGATTTTAAGAGCCTTAAACATTGTTAACTTAAAAATCGCGAGACTTCGGGAGAGAATCTAATTTTAGACTAGAAATGACAAAAACTGTCTAGATTCAAACAAGCTCCAGATCAAATCAAGAACAAGTTTATAAAACTGGAAAAGCTAAAGAAAGCTACGCTGCCTAATCTGGATTGCAGTAATCTATTGACTAGTTTATGGTAGCCAAGATACGTCTACCTTAATCAGTGTCCGAATGGTTCGAAACGATTTGAAATTCCAAATCTGGCTCAATATTTCTTTATTTCTACTAGAAATATATTCCATTTTATTTTCCATCAAAATTCCCAGAGTCATAGATTTTGATGTGGTCATTTTACGCTAATTCCCCCCTCCCTCACACAAATGACACAAGCTTGAGCTAATGTATGAAGAAAGAAAGAGCAAGGAATTGGAAAGGATGCGAGCTATTGATCTGTGGTCGAAAAGGGTGGGGGGAAAAGGGAAAGAGAACACAGAGAAGACACTAGCCTCGGGGTGAAAAGGGTGGATGGGAAAAGAGAGGCGTGACGCGAGCACGCGCCGCTTCTCCCTTTTCCCTTTGGTTTCTTCTTTTCTTTAGCTCTTCAGCTGTGCACCAATTCACCAAAGCTTTTCCCCTTTACTCTTTCATATTTTTTTTTCTTTTTAATCCGTTTTGGGCCAAGATTTATCGAGATCCACAAAGTTACACTCAATTCCAACAAAACCAATCAATTTTTTTTCTATTATAGATATTTATACGGTAAACAGACGTTTTTTTTATATATTGAACTCATTGTCAGGGTTTTCTGGCTACAGATAATCTTGTTAATCTCTGAAATCTCTGAAATCTCTGCAATCTCTACAGATATGGAATCCTTTACAACTAGTGTTCAATATGTATTGAATAATGAAATGATTACAGCACTAAATGCTGGTTATATGGATCCTTATTCAATTCTATGTATTGCAGTTTTTCATTTGCAATCAGCAGTCGATCAGTCGATCAATCGATTCAATCGGTTCGATCGAAGCAATCGATTCAATCGGTTCAATCGGTTCAATCGGTTCAATCGGTTCAATCGGTTCAATCGGTTCAATCGGTTCAATCGGTTCAATCGGTTCAATCGAAGCAATCGGTTCAATCGATTCAATCGATTCGATCGAAGCAATCGGTTCGAAGCAATCGATCCCATGTTAACTCCACCCTTTTTTCCGTCTTGCCTTTAACAATCCACGAATTTTCCTTGTATCTTGAATGGGTTTATTTGAAAAACGTTGAATTTACTTGCTTTTTTGCTTTTGCTTTTGCTTTTCTTACTTTAAATTTGTCTTTCCTTCGATAGAAATTTGATTTCGAGAAAGCAAATTCAACGTTTTGTCAAACAAAACCGGCTAAGATACGTGTAAAATACGTAGATTGCCAACGGCAAGCCTGAAAAAGGACGGAGTTAACATGCTTGTATCAAACTTATTCCCGATATATCCTATCCGAATTCTACTCCAGTTCCACCACTTGTTGAACTTATACAGTTTTAGTTCATGATTTCTTTTTCTTCTTCTTCATCATCATCATCATCATCTTCTTCTTCCTCTTCTTCCTCTTCTTCTTCTTCCTCTTCTCTTCCTCTTCTTCTTCCTCTTCTTCTTCCTCTTCTCTTCCTCTTCTTCTTCCTCTTCTTCTTCCTCTTCTTCCTCTTCTTCCACATCTTTCTTTTTAAAGAAGAAGCTCTTTCCCCTTTCCACCATTTCCTTTCTCCTTATTTCTATACACCATGACCACTTGACCAGTCAAACATTTCCCTCTGCGATCCCCGAGTCCATTAATTTCAAGAATGTCGTGCCCTATAAGAGGGCGACAAGCAGGCGGAAACAAAAGACGGCGATAGTCTAGGGGATAGTGAGGTCTACAAAACCCATCTCTCTTTTTTGCTCGCAGGTTCAATTCCGCTCCCAGCTGAGTAGTAAGACTCAAGGCTCTTAGCCACTCGGCTACTCGGCTACTCGCCTACAGTGGCGACTCGGCAATGACGGTTGAATGAATGGTAAACGAAGAGAGACTTATTCGCAAGCGACTCAATAATCAATCAAATCAATAATCAATTTCTAATCAATCAAAAAAAGCAACTTTCTCTTAATAGTTTCTCTTAATTCCTCTGACATCTTTTATTCTATAGAATTCTACATTTTAACTAGCAGAAAGCCTTTTTTCAGTGTTTTTCTTAGTCTCAAACTTTCTATCAAGGATTTTCGTTCAGGGAAACTCGTCAAAAAGTGTTTACATCGAATTCAAACGAAAATCTCGCATCCGATCATTTCCATTCCCGTTTTTCCATATTTATTCAGCTTTTCCGTGAATCTTCTTCTTTCTTTTCCCTCTCGAACTCTTCATTTCTTCACTTTTCTCTTTCAAAATCGTGTCTCTTTCGAATCCAACCGGCTGCCAACAATTTGGAAAAGTTTTCCCCCCACACTTCTCCAGTTTTCCGGGCACTCAATGACAAATTATGAGATCTGTGTACGAAATCTAAAGCTTAAAACTAAATTGGAATCGGAATCGAATCGAAATCGAATCGAAATCGAATCGAAATCGAATCGGAATCGAAATCTATTTTTAAAACTTTATAAGCTGCACTACTGGACAATGAAATATGATATTTGAAAAAAGGTCGTCACTTTCGCGCGTCTGTAACTCCCTTGTCTTTATCGTATTTCTAAATATTAATATTACCATTGTGTAGCCCTTGAAAAGAGCTTTCAGAAAATGTATAACAATAATAATTTAAACTCAAAGACAAGGGAGTTACAGACGCGCGAAAGTGACGATCGTTTTTCAAATATCATATTTCATTGTCTAGTACTGTATCAATAAATTTATTAATAATTAAATTCTCTTTATTTATTAATCGGTTCTCTTCTTATTTGCGCCTGTACAGCTTTGGTGTCAAGACCAGAATTACTGTACGTATCGGAAGCCTGGCAAGGACATTTATACCTACCGTAAATACTGTAATAGTACCCCACCGCCCATAATGACGGTGCGGAGTGTTGCGTAGTCTAGCTTTGAGCGAGTTTTCTCGACACTGGTTTATGCTACAATGCGCGCTTAGATATCAAAAAATAGCCCTCAATTTCAGCTATTTTTTTGATACCATTTTTTGAAAGTACGGGCTCTTATATAACACTAATAATTTAAACGCAAAGACAAGGGAGTTACAGGCGCGCGAAAGTGACGATCGTTTGTTTTTCAAATATCATATTTCATTGGCCAGTACTGTAACTTTATAAAACTTTATAAGCTAACTTTATAACCTTATAACCTTCACAAGTCTTTCCTTGTTGCTCTCCGTCTTTCCTTGTTGCTTAGATTTTGTAAATTGGATCCTTTCCGGCTGGCTGAAACGCTTTTACATTTCCACAAATTTTTATATCTTTGCTGACCTTTATCCGGATAATTTCCCCGGGTTTTTCCAAATGATTTCGAAAAGTTGAGGTCAAAAAAAAGTTCACGTCTTTCCTTTTTCTAACGATTTTCTTATATATCCATGACAAGGTCATTTCACGGAATTTCCCCGCAATCTTTCTTTTTTTGATCCCTTTTGATTCCTTTTGATCGTCAAATCGTCAAATCCCTTTCCCATACTTGAAACCAATTTTTTATAGGTTAACGCTTGACATTTGGGCAATTCAATCACTGTTTTACTCGAATTTTTCTAAACGCAGTTCGAGTGTACTTTGATTAAGCCTCTTTTACTAAAACCTTTTAAAGTCTTTGAAACTTTTGTTTTAGAACAATAAACATTCATTGGAACTTGTTAGACTTTAAAGCTTCTAAATATTGATAAAAATACTAAATACTCTTTATACTTTTAACGAAAAAAGTAAAGAACTCGGCGGCCAGCGGAATCGAACCCGCGAGCATAGGTGGCGATGGGTTTTGGAGTCTAGCACCTTATCCCCTAGACCACCACTGCTGTTTTTGGGAGGCCGCGTGGTGCCCTCTTATAGGTCTCCTCCCTTCAGAGTCTTGTTCTTTCTGTTCGTCGAGGTGTACTTTGCGCTGTTTTTGTAAATATTCCAATTCTGGTACACTTAAAACT